GTTTCTCTCTCTGTCACCCGACCCCGGGTGGAGTCTCCAAACCCAGCAGATCCCTCCCCCGCCGTCTATCCTCCCGAATATCGCTGCGGATTCACTTCTCTGCACGTCCTACCTTCCAGAAAGTGGTCGCTTTTCTGATGAGAGAGTTGTTGCTCTTCTTTTCTTCAATCTCCTGTTGAGTTTGTAGGTGTTCAGAATGGTTTGATCCCTATCCAGCTGAATTCCTGAGAGGAGACGAAATCCAGGTCTCCTACTCCTCCGCCATCTTGCTCCGCCCCTCCCTTTTTTTTTATTATTTTAATTTTTTAAAAGATTTTTATTTATTTGTCAGAGAGAGAGAGAGAGAGAGCACAAGCAGGGGGAGCAGCAGAGGGAGAGGGAGAAGCAGGCTCCTCACTGAGCAGGGAGCACAATGAGGGGCTCGATCCCAGGACCCTGGGATTATGACCTGAGCCGAAGGCAGACGCTTAACGATAAGCCACTCAGGTGTCCCTTTTTTTTTTTTTAAGATTTTATTTATTTATTTGACAGAGAGATAGAGAGCACAAGTAGGCAGAATGGCAGGCAGAGGGAGAGGGAGAAGCAGGCTCTCAGCTGAGCAGGGAGCTGGACGTGGGGCTCGATCCCATGACCCCAGGATCATGACCCGAGCTAAAGGCAGCTGCTTAACCGACTGAACCACCTGGGCATCCCTGCTTGTAATTCCTTATAAAAGACTTGAGTTCGCAAGCCTGGGGTCTCCTCAGCTGTGATGCAGACCCACTGTGTGCTGGCACGGGCCTGGGCTGCTTCACGCTGCCCCCTGGGACTTGTGGGGCAAGAGGAACAATGCAAACATGAAACTCACGATGCCTGCTGTGCTTTAAGTAATCAAGTCCTAAAAAATAAAAAGTAGTGAAGTCCTTTGTCTCTGACCCACGAGTCTCCTGTATTCTGCCAGTATCCATGAAACTGTGGCAGACTAACTTGTTGGCTTGCAAGTAAGGTGAAACCACAGACTTTTCACAGCCTTTCCCAGGGTCCTGGTTAATACTACCTGCAATGGCCCCTTGACATGCCTTTTGGCCGCTCCAGAATTAAAACAATTTTAGGGGCGCCTGGGCGGCTCAGTCGTTGAGCGTCTGCCTTCGGCTCGGGTCATGATCCCAGGGTCCTGGGATCAAGCCCCCCATCGGGCTCCCTGCTCAGCGGGAAGCCTGCTTCTCCCTCTCCCACTCCCCCTGCTTGTGTTCCCTCTCTCGCTGTCTCTCTCTGTCAAATAAATAAAATCTTTAAAAAAATTATATATTCATATATATGAATATATAAAAAATGCATTCATATATATATGTCCCATATATATGAATATATATATATAAAGTATATATATATTTTTAAAGATTTTATTTATTTGGGAGAGACAGAGTGCAAGTGTGGGGAGGAGCAGAGGTGGAGGGAGAGGGACAAGCAGACTCTGCACTGAGGATGGAGCTTGACGTGGGGCTTGATCTCATGACCGTGACATCAGAACTTGAGCCAAAACCAAGAGTAGATCACTCAACTGACTACACCACCCACACATCCCCTTTCTAGCATCTTTGAACACACTTCCTAAATTTGGAGAGGCCTGCCTGTTCAAGGAAGAAGTTAGGACCATGAGTCTTTCTCCCAACTAGAGCACAGGCTAGGACCAGGCTCTGCCTATCAGACACTTGTGAGCGGCTGTGAAGGGCAATAGGGTGGTGGGTGGGCAAGAGGGAGGCAGGCACTGGTGTCCCTTTTTGCTGAGGACAGTGGTGAGCTGGGCTCGGGCCCTCCGGGATGCGGTCGTAAGCGGCTGAGGTTCTGATGCTCAGCCCTAGGGTCAGCGGAGTGACCTTGGGTACCTCACCTGAGCTGACCTGGACTCCGCCTCCCCCACCCTGGGTTCCACAGGTGTCCCCACTTCCTTCATCCTTTCCTCTTCGCTGGGCAGGGGACTTCCTATTTGGCACATTCCTCATTGTTTATTTGTGACTTCTCTCTTTTTCCCTTGGTCAGTCTCACCAGAGGTTTGCCAATTTAATTGGTCTTTTCACAGAACCAACTTTTGACCTCACTGATTTTCTCTCTCTTGCATTGTTTTTTGTCTATTCGTTTCTGCTCTTATCTCTGTCATTTTCTGACTCCTGCTGTTTTTGAATTTATGTGGCAGTTCTTTCTCTAACTTGGACCGTTAATGTGTTATTTTCAGTCTTTCTTCTTTAAGTTTTCAATGCGGTATATTTCCCTCTACTCATTGTTTTCACTATATCCCCCAAGTTTTAATGTATTTTCATGAATGTTTATTGTAAAGTATTTTAAAATTACTTTTAATTATTTGACACATACAGATTATTCTTGGGTATTTTTTAAAAAACTTTTTGTCACAGAAAAATATATATAAAAGAGAAGAGAATATATAATGAACCCCTAGGTACCTATAGCCAGGTCCAATTGTGAACATATGGCCAGTCTATTTTCATCTATATTCCCATGTGCTCTCTCAACTCAAACTTAGTTTATTTTGAGAGTGTGTTTTAAATGTATGGGGCATTTTTATTTATCTTTTTTTTTTTTTTAAGTTTTATATATTTGACAGAGAGAGACACAGCGAGAGAGGGAGCACAAGCAGGGGGAGTGGGAGAGGGAGAAGCAGGCTTCCCGTGGATTGGGGAGCCTGATGTGGGGCTTGATCCCAGGACTCTGGGATCACAACCTGAGCCGAAGGCAGACGCTTAATGACTGAGCCACCCAGGCGCCCCTTATCTTTTTTTAATACATGATGACATAATTACATTGTGGTCAGAGGCTACGGTTTTCATGATACTGAATTATTAATATTTCTTGAGACTTGCTCTGACTAGTATGGGATCATCTTGTGTGAATAGTCTACGTATATTTGAGAACAGTACCTATTTTGTAATGCAGGCTTGTTTACATGTCCTTTAGATTGAGTTTGTTTATTCTGTCATTCAAATCTATATCTTTGCTGGATTTTTTTGTCTTCTTGATTTGTTAATAATTGGAAAAGGTCTATTGAAATGTTCTGTTAAGGTGGTGGATTCTTGGGATGCCTGGGTGGCTCAGTCGGTTGAGCATCTGCCTTCGGCTCAGGTCATGATCCCAGGATTCTGGGATTGAGTCCCGCATCGGGCTCCCTGCTCAGTGGGGAGCCTGCTTCTCCCTCTGCCTGCCAGTCCCCTTGCTTGTGTTCTCTCTCTCTCTCTGAAAATAAATAAATAAAACCTTTTTTTAAAAAAAAGATGGTGGATTCTTTAATTTGTCTCATGGATCTGTCCATTTTTTGCTTCATATATGTGAAAGCTATCTAATTAGGTGTTTAGCATTGTTATATATTTGAACCAATTTGACTTTTATCATTATGTAATGACTTTTTATATCCCCAATAATGTTTTTTTTATCTTAAAACTGATCTTGTCTGATACTATTAAAGGTATACTAAGTTTTTTGTGACAGGAGGATGTTAATATTTGCCTGCTATATCTTTTCCATCCTTTTACTCTCAAACTTTCTTTGTCTTATGCCTTAGATGTGTCTTTTGTAAACAACATGTAGCCGGATTTAAAAAATCCATATGTAGCTTAACAGAATGTATAGTTGAGCAATATATGAACATCCTTCTTGAATAATGCAAGAAAGACCTCAGAATCCTTGGATGCTGGTTATCCTCTCCTTCCTGACTTATTTTTGTTCTGTATTTTAGGTCTGTCCTTTTTGGTTTGCACCCTCAAATTCTACCTTATTGTTATTTTATATGATAGGGTTTGTTTGTTTTTTTTTCACATGGTCATCATTTGATTTGCTCACTGTTTCCTCATGCCTTTTAGTCTCCTTTTCTGGGATCATATTCCTTTCTCCTGAAGTATGTCCTTTAGTGTAGGTCATATAGTGGTATGCACTCCCAGTTGTGTTTTGTTTGGAACTTTTGAACAATTATATAAAATATAACACATGTATACAAAGGTGCGTAAGACAAAAATGGATAGAATAATTATAAAATGAGCACTAGATCCCCAACATGTTCCTTTTGAATCATGCCTCAGTAACTGTCTTTTTATATATAATCTAATATAACCGAGGTTAGTTTTGCCAATTTCGGACTTAATGCAGTTGGAACCATACTGCACGTGTTCTTGTGTGTTTCTTTCTCTCAGCATTATGCTTGTACAGTTCATCTTGGTTGTTGCATGTCAGTACAACTCACTCATTTTTATTGCCATATTATATTTTACCATACTGATATGTCATAATTTATTTATCTAGTCCCCTGCTGATGGGCGTGTGGATTGCTATTACATGTAAGGCTGCTGTGAGCACTTTCAGCACATCTCCCGTGTGTGTGTGTGTGTGTGTGTGCGCTCACACGTACACGTGCATGAACTGCTCAAGTCCAGTGTATTTCCCTAAGAGTGGAATTACTGGCCTATAGACTAGGCATATTTTCAATTTCACTAGATAATGTCCCAGGTGACACTCATTTACACTCCAGCACTCACTTACATTCGCACCACATCCTTGACAACACTTGGGCTTGTCAGACTGTAAAACTCTCCCTGTTTTTGTTTATATGTAAATGATTTTATTTCATCCTGGTTCTTCTTTTTCTTTTTTAAGTTTTTATCTATTTATTTATTTAAGTTATCTCAACACCCAACATGGGCCTTGAACTCATGACCTTGGGATCAAGAGCCACATGCTCTCCTGACTGAGCCAGCCAGGCACCCCTCATCCTGGTTCTTGAAAGATGATTTTTTCCAGGCACATAATTCTAACCTGACATTTATTTGCCCTTAACATTTTGCAGATATTATTCCACTGTCTCTGACATCTGTTGTGATTTCCAAGTCTAGGTGGATCTGTCCTTTTTTTCTGGCTCCTTTAAGATTTCTTTATCTTTGGTTCTGTGGTTTTACAATCAGGTAACTTTTTTTTTTTTTTAAGATTTTATTTATTTATTTGACAGAGAGAGACACAGCGAGAGAGGGAACACAAGCAGGGGGAGTGGGAGAGGGAGAAGCAGGCTTCCCACGGAGCAGGGAGCCTCATGCGGGACTCGATGCCAGGACCCTGGGACCATGACCTGAGCCGAAGGCAGACGCTTAACCACTGAGCCACCCAGGCGCCCATACAATCAGGTATCTTGGCATGGCTTCCTCTTTATTTGGCTGGGTGGAATGTGTTCTTTCTTAGTGGCTTTATGTTGTTTTTCACTTCTGGAGGCTGCAAAGTCATCTCTTTAAATATTTCATTTTCTCTTTTTCTCTATTCTCCCTTTCTGAGATTCTGATAAATATATGTTAGATTTTCTTACTCTATCCTCCACAGCTCTTAAAATCTCTTTTTGAAAATATTTTGTTTATTTATTTTGAGAGAGAGAGCGAGTGCACACACAAGCAGGGGAGAGGCAGAAGCAGAGGGAGAGAATCCCCAGCAGACTCCATGCTGTGTGGAGGCCAAAGTGGGGCTTGATCCCACCACTCTGAGACCACGACTCAAGCCAAAACCAAGAGTCAGATGCCTAACCAACTGAGCCTTAAAATCTCTCTTTTTTAGAAGTTCAGAACTTTTTGGGGTGCCTGGTGTGGCTCAGTTGGTTAAGCATCTGCCTTCTGCTCTGGTCATGATCCCAGGGTCCTGGGATCCAGCCCCACATCAGGCTCCCTGCTCAGTGGGGAGTCTGCTTCTCCCTCTGCCCCATCCCCTTCCACTCATGCTGTTTTTCACTTTCTCTCTTTCTCATATAAATAAATAAAATCTTTTAAAAAATAAAGAAGTTCAGGACTTTTTGTTTTTGTTTTAAAGATTTACTTACTTATTTTAGCGTGGGCAAGCCGTGCATGCCGGGGGAGGGGCAGAGTGGAAGGGAGAGGGAGGAGCAGAGCAGGAAGCCCAAAGTGGGGCTCCATCTCACAACCCTGAGACCATGACCTGAGCCAAAATCAAGAGCCGGATGCTCAACTGACTGAGCCACCCAGGCACCCCTAAAATCTCTTTTAAACTCTTCATTTTCTTGCCTCTCTGTGCTGTTTGCCAGGTGATTTCTTTGGATGTAGTTTTAGCTCGCTAATTCTGTCTTCAACTGTCTCTAATATCTTTTCAGTAAGGTGTTTTTATTTTGTAATTTATTTATTTTTAAAGATTTTATTTATTCATTTGAGAGAGAGAGAGAGCACAAAGAGCACGTATGTATGCACAAGTGGGGGGAGGGGCAGAGGGAGACGGAGAAGCAGACTCCCTGCTGAGCCTGATGCAGAGCTGGATCCCAGGACCCTGGGATCATGACCTGAGCGGAAGGCAGATGCTTAACCAACTGAACCACCCAGGTGCCCCTTCAGCAGGTTTTTAATTTCAACCATTATATTTTTCATTTTTTGAAGTTCCATCTTAAAATCCACCTGTTCATCCCTAATTGTTTTCTGTTGAATGACTTCTTTGTGATCACAGCTTTTATTTATTTATAACATTTTAAAAAGATTTTACTTTATTATTTATTTTTAAAGATTTTACTTATTTGAGAGAGAGAGAGTGCAGAGCCCAATGTGGGGCTCAATCCCAGGACCCTGAGATCATGACCTAAGCCTGTCAGACGCTTAACCAACTGAGCCACCCAGGCACCCCCAAAGATTTTATTTTTAAGCGGTCTCTACATCCAATGTAGAGCTCGAACCCACAACCCTGAGATCAAGAGTTGCACGTTCTACCTACTGAGCCCACCAGGTGCCCTGCATTTTTATTTCTTTAAGTCTTTCATAAATGTTTGTTCTATATTTTGTATCTGAAAATCCTTCAATCTTTAGGGATCTAAACCTGCAGTTCATTGTTTCTGCTGACTCACAGAGTAACTTGCCTCCTTATGTGCCTGTGATCTTTGTGAGTTCATTGCTGGCTTAAAATTGGTAGGAGTCCTGTGGGTCTCAGTTGAGGATTGAGGAAGCAGTCCTACAGACGGCATGTGTTTTTTTACTTCCCCTGGTACCAGGAAGGGCCATGATCTGGGGTTACTTCATCTTGCCTGGACTGAGGGACTCCAACACTCCCCTTCCCTTGTTTTGAGCTTGGCTCAAGGCTCAGTTTTGCAGTAACAGAAGGACATTTATCTGGCTGGCTGCCTGCTGCCCCAGCCCCGGCCAGGCCCTGATCCCTTGTCCAGGAGGGGGTGTGCTTAGGGACATCCCCTATCTCTTGTCAGATCAGCTATATTTCAAGTAGATATGTTTTTCAAAGTTTAGCTCTTCTCCTCAGCCATGATGCTATAATGCCAGAAACGGGAGACTCCTTACGTTTTCTAATAATTTCCTCCCTATGTAAACCATCCTGCATGGGTTCTGTTGCCTACACAAAAGGCCAGATATTAAGAGTCATTTCCTCCTGGTGGTAGAAAGTGGTCATCTATGCTTCTGTCTGCAAGAAGAGCAGCCCCTTCTTTTGGAGAACTACTGGTTTCTCTCCCTGCCCAGTCACATGACTGGTAATTACAGAACTCTGTCCCTTAGACAGCAGGGAGGGTCACATAACCCAAGATGGCCAATAAGAGTGCTTCCCTGGGCATTTCTGAATTTGAGTGGGAAAAGGAGCTTCTTCCACTTCAGGGCATGGTAAGGGTGTGAGCTCAGTGAGGCTGCAGTCATACGTCCCACATACGAGGAGAAAGCCTGCCGAGCATGGAGCCAAGGTGCCGAGAGATGAAAGAAGGTGCAAGAGAGGGTGAGGATTGCATTAGTCCCGAGCTCTCTGTGGTCTGATCACAAGCGCCAGCAAATCCTCCCGCGCTGCTCAGGTTTTCTGCCTTTTACAGTCTAGCCTCTTACGCAGTGGGATGATAGATGGTTATTATTTTGTTTTCTGCCTCCCTGTATTTTAAAAATGTTTTACCATCTAGATATTTTTTTAAAATAAAGCAAATGTATTATTAAAAAATCCTGCATTGACTTTTTTTGGTGAAGCAAATAACCTCACCCTAATTGGTTGTTGTTTTTTTTTTTTTAGATTTTATTTATTTATTTGAGAGAGAGAGCGAGCACAAGCAGGAGGAGGGACAGAGTGAAAGGGAGAAGGAGGTTCCCTGATGTGGGGCTCGATCCCAGGACCCTGGGATCCTGACCTGAGCTGAAGGCAGACGCTTAACCGACTGAACCACCCAGGTGCCCCCCACCCCTGCCGCCAATTGGTTTTTGTGAGATGAAATCTCCACATGTTGGATTTGGCTAAAGCAGAGACTCAGTGAGTGGGTGAGGAGTCACGTGTCCATTCTGGTAATGGTCAGTGAGACACATAGGTCTCTCAGGGAAAAAAATGCAGCCTGGCTTTGCTTGTGCCAAGTGTCTGTGGTGGCCCCGATGGACGGGGCAGTGGTTTTGGGGCTCCCGACGCGGGTGCTGCCCCCTGCCTCTGCCTCACTGCATGGCGACATTTCAGGGGCTGCCTCTGTTAGCTGGTATCCTCAGCACCCAGCACTAAACTGGCAAGAAATGGTTTGATGAAGTGACTTCAGCCAGGCCTCAGATTCCGAGTCAGGAGTCCCATATCCTTCTTTGACTGGTTCTGATACCAGCAAGCTGTGTGGTCTGGAGCAAGTCTGTTTCCTCTCCTGTAAAATGGGCTCCATGCTTGGTCTTCTGCAGGTTTGTAAGGACTAGGCAGAGCACAGAGTCAACATGCAATGAGTTGTCTTTTTTTTTTTAGATTTTATTTATTTTTCAGAGTGAGGGAACGGGTGAGAGAGAGCACAAGCAGGGGGAGCAGCAGGCAGAGGGAGAAGCAGACTCCCTGCGGAGCAGGGAGCCCGATGCCGGACTCGATCCCAGGACTCTGGGATCATGACCTGAGCCGAAGGCAGACGCTTAACCAACTGAGCCACCCAGGCGCCCCTGCAATGAGTTGTCTTGATGGGGGAGGAGGAAAGATCCAATGACAGGTGCTGACCAGCTGTGAAAAAGGATGTTGAAAGTTACTGTTCCTGCTGTCACTTCGGAATCAAAGTTGGGACAAAGAAGCGTTTGGATTCCCATTCTAGAGAAAGGAGACACTCCTGGGCAGCAGACCTTCCCCTCCAGCGGCTGCTGGAAAGCGGCTGAACCTGTTCTGTTTCTCCCCACAGTGCTGCCAGGTCCCAGCAGGGATGGTGCAGTTACTGAACCAGGTAACTGGGTAGCTACGACCTGCCCTGCACCTCAGGTGCCCCGTCTGCAAAATGGCGCCCACCTCCGAGGGTTGCCGTGAGGATTAAGGAGCAATACATGTAAAAGAGAACAGTGACCAGGACCTAGGAAGCAGTATATGCCAGCTGTTATTATTATTACTATCCCTACCCTTACCTGCCCCTCAACTCCCACCTGGGTCTGTATGAGCAGGAGCCTAGGAAATCCAGAGCAATCACTTGAGTCAAGGGCACAGGGGAGGGGGCCGGCCATGAAGAGGAACACCAGGGATTCCTCTCTCAGAGGTGGGGGGTGCCTGTGGGAAGGGGAGCCTGGCATCTCACTCCCTGGCAGGACATCTGCTTCCTCAGTGGCCCAGCTGAGCCTCCTCATGCCCACCTGAGCAGGGGAAAGAGGAGTGGACAGAGGGGTGGCAGGGTGGAGGCGGTAGCAGGCAGGGCGAGGATGAGTGAGTCTCCCCTGGACCCTGAGTGGACCCTGTGGGAGTGTGAGGGCCATTTTGCTTGTCACCTCTCCAGGAGGCCTGGCCACTGGGCAGAAGACCCTCAGCACTGGCAGTGGTGGGATGGGCCCCAGGTGGTGGAAGTGTGCATAGAGCCCTGAACAGGGAGGAGACCCAGCCAGACCTCTGCCAGCCTACCGTGCATCCTACAAGAGGCCCAATTCTGGACACCGCCACAAGGAAGGGAGACTTTGACACCCCATGGAGGCGATTACACCAGGGGGCAGTGAAACACAGAGCCCCTCCTCATCTTTCCTCTCCCTCTTTCCCACGCAGCCTCCCCCCACCATGAGGGAGGAGGGAGAGTAGCTGGGATTAGCTGGGAGGTGGAATTTAAGTTGGCACTACATGGGACTGGACTTTTTATATCTGAAAATCACCAGAAAGCCACAGGACGTGCCAAGATGGCGGGAACGGGTGAGAAAGGGAGGCTGAAGGCTGGATTTGGGGGGAAATTGTGATAGAGTCCCGCTGAGCTGAGCACCTTGGGATCCAGTGGCCAGAGCAGCCTCCTGGAGGGCATCCATTCTGTGCCCCCAAGTGCCCGGCTCAGCAGGGGGTCTTCAGTGAGGAGTGGCACAAAATCAAGGGGGTGAGTGGCCCCCTGGGTGAGGCTGAGCCCCTGCCCTCCCTGGGCTCTGGGTGGCAACTGCTAATGTCATCAAGGGACCGCTCCCAGGCTGGCAACCCCCCCTCCCAAGGAAGTCGTATCCTGGGGGGCCACTTGCCCTCCTGCCCTCCCATTCTCCCTCCACAAGGCCAGGCCCAGGCGAGGGGGAGCCCACAGCCTAGGTTCTTGGAGCCCAAAGGAGCAAAGCCCCTGGACTCAGTGTGGAGGAGAGAGGTCCCAGCCAGGGCAGAGACACTGGGTGGCGGTTCCCCTGGTGGTTTGGATCCCAGGCCCAGGCACATGGTCAGGAAGCAGCAGGGTGGTTTCCCTTACTGCTTTTGCAAGGCCTTTTAACTTAAGCCAAATCCAACATGTGGAGATTTCATTTCACATTTCACATTTCATTTGCGTAGTGACTGAAGGTGGACCTTTTTCAGGAGCTGTGTACACCTGATAGACAATGTTCCTGAAGACAATCTTCCTGAGCCTGTTGTCTCCCTTGTAAATGGGGGAAATGAAGTGTGACGGATAATGAAACAGTGCACAGTGCCTGGGACACAGTAGGCGCTCAATAAATGGTAGGTTATTATTCTACTTCCTCCCTTCCCACCTGCGGGGGTCCTAGCACCTGTATAAGGAAGGAATAGGTAGAAAGGAGAAAGGACAGGCTTGAAATGGCCCAAAGGGGTGTGAGAGCGCCCTCTGCTGGTCACTAGTGGTTGGAGGCCGAGTCGGAAGCTGTCAAGGTGAAAGGGGCTGCACCCACCACTGGAGAAACGGATCCACGTCCTCCAGGGCCCAGCACCAGGCCGGCTGGGGACAGAGCTGTCCCATCCACTGTCCTGAGATCCCTCATGAGGAGGAGGGAGCAGCTTCCGTCCCTGTAGGGACAGGTACCAGGAGCCACCTGCGCACATTTGCAATGGCAGGGACGCCCAGCCCCCAACCCTGACCTTTGCACTCTGAGGGTCTCCCGGCTGCCAACACTCACTGCAGGTGTGGGTGGAGGGATGGGATGTGGGAAGTGAGAGAGGAGGATCCATGTGGGTCTGGAACGCCCACCATAACCGGCTTCTCCAAGGTCTGGGAGCCTTCAAATACCTGGCCCGCTCCCATTCACCCCCTACACCCATCCGGGGCCAAGCCTGGTGCTTCTCCTCTGGGTGCCCAAGGTATCCTGGGTTCACCCTGCACAGTGGACAGTGTCTGCTCAGAATCTCCCTGCTCTAGAAATTCCTGCCGTAACATATAGAGCAGCCATGGTCTTACACGACTCAAACCCCTGGCCACAGTTGGCTGGTTCTGGAGGAGGCACCTGATCTGGATCGGTCCAGACATAGTCCCTTATCCCTGGCCAAAGCTAACTGGATCCAGGAGAAGAGAATAAATCCCTTCCTTGTGGACTTTTTGAAACTGGAATCTAAGGAGCAGTAGTCAATCCCCTTTTCATGTGGGAAGCAGTAAGAATTCAAACTCAGAAGCTCTTGGAGTCCATGTGGGTAGAACATCTGTGGTTTCTTCCTCATCTTCAGGTGATAGCGTCCTTATCTTCTTTTGGGAAGTGCTGGCCTCCCCTCCCTGTGGTCTGATAGGACTGATGGACCAGGGGCTGGGCCCATCAACTGGGCTGATCCATCAGATTCCCTCCAAGGGCTCTGGAGCTTGTACAGAAATGCACAGGGAGATCAGATGGTTGGGGTTCAGCTGTTCCCTAGCAGGGCCCCAAAGATGGGGATCCCTGAAGCCCCCGTTCTGTCTTCCCTGAGACCTGGTTAGTCAACTGTATTTTTTCCCCAATTCTCTAAGCCAGGAGTTTCCAAGAAATTCTGCCCTTCTTTCTCTTCTCCAAAGCTTCACCCACCACACACACGTTTTATTTTGAAAAATTTCACAAGTTGCAAAGTTGAAAGAAGAAGAGTACAATGGAATTCTTATTCCTTTTGCTTAGATTCACCACCTGGTAACATTTTACCACATTTGTTCACATAGACGCTCAAACTTTCTTTTTCCTTCTTTATCGTTTGCAAGTAACACTTCATCCCTAAGTCCTTCAGCAAATTCTCCCAAGAATAAGGACATTCTCCCCCGTAACCATAATACCGTTACCCCATTATGCAGTTGTGCAAAGTTGTGCACGTTATTCTCTGTTGCACAACGAATCACCTCAAAACTTACTGGCTTAAAGCAACAACTGTTTTATTCTCTACCTTGATTCTGTGGGTCGACGAGTCTTGGCCAGGTGACAGTGGCTCAGATCTCTCTTGCAGTTGTAGTCAGACGGCTGCCTGGGGCTGGAGCCAGCTACCTTCTCCTTGCTCACGTGGCTGGTGGATGAGACCGCCTGCTGGCTGGGACCTCCACTGCGGCTGTTCGTCAGAACACCTATGGGTCGTTCCCCATGTGGTCTGGGCTCCTCCCGGCATGGTAGCTGGGGACCGGGACACCGGACGCGGAAGCTGCAGGTTCCACAGGGCTGGTCCTGGCACAGCATCACTTCCACCATATTCTTCTACTGGGCAAGCAGTCACAGAGCCCAGATTTAGGACAGAGCCCCATCTATTGCTTGGAGGAGTGTCAAAGAACTGGGGGGCTATGTTTTAAAACTACCACAAATCCTCGCAAATTTAATGTCGACACCATAACACCACCTAACACGGTCTCTTTTTAAGTTTGTCCCCTCGTATTTTGTCTTTCACGACATTGCCAATTTTGAACAGTCCGGTGGTCTCTGTAAGAGTATCTTCCCATCCATATTTATCTGGCAGTGTCCTCGTGAGCAGATTCAGGTGAAAGTGTTCCTGGCAAGAATACTACCTAGATGGTATCGTGCAGCGCCTGCAGCACACCCGGGGCACGTAATGCCAGTTTGTACCTTCGCGGGGAAGGCTGAGCTGGGTCACCAGGTTAAGGTGGGGCCCACCGTTTTCTCCCGGTAAAGGTACCTTTTCCTCTTTTTCTAGGTGTTATTAAGATTTACCCCACGGATGGCCATTCCAGGTCAACTTTCCTAAGTATGCGATATGCCCCTTCAATATGTAGATTATGTTGTGTATTTCTAGAAAGTTCCTTCTTTTGGGGGCAGGGGGGGTTCTACCTTTTGTTTGATATGAGTTCTTTTCAGTTGTTTTGTTTCCTTTGGGCACTCCAGTGACTTGTGTTCTCCTTGTATATCTTCTTCTGCCATCTCTTTCTCTCTGACACCCTACTTTTTTTTAAACTTTGTTACTGATTTTTTAAAAAAGATTCATATATTTATTTCAGAGGGAGGAGGGGCGGAGGGAGAGGGAGAGAGAGGATCCCAAGCCAACTCTATGCTGAGCACGGAGCCCGATGTGGGACTCGATCCCAGGACCCTGAGATCATGACCTGAGCCAAAGGCAGACGCTTAACCGACTGAGCCACCCAGGCGTCCCTACTTTGTTATTGATTTTACTTTTGTTTTCTTGGTTCTTTTCTTTCCTTCTTTGATATGAATGCCTCTTATTATATTCTCAGTTGAATTTAATTTCTCTTGAGTACCTTGCAATTTAATCATCACTTCTGAGAAGACTTCGACTTTTTTTTTTTTTTTTCAATTTCTTTCCGGATATTTGTTAACTCTTATTTCGGTTTCTAATTTTTTGACGCATTTCTGCTGGATGCTCCCAAATTTCTGATTTAAATTGTTTTCATCTCTGCAAATGGTCGTTTAAGAATATAGTCCAAGTTGAAGTGTTACGTCAGAGTTGTCCTCTGCCTGGTGGTGTTTTTCTGGAGGAGACTTCTCATCAGCTGAAATATTTGTCTTTTTAAAAAAAAAATTGTGGAAGGAGCGCCTGGCTGGCTTAGTCGGTGGAGCGTGTGACTCTTGCTCTCAGGGTCATGAGTTTGAGCCCCATGTTGGGTGTAGAGATTACTAAAATGAACAAACTCTAAAAAGTTATTGAAGTGTAGTTGACACACAGTGTTGCATTAGCGTCAGGTGTACAAGAGTGACTTGATAGTGTCCACGTTCCTCAGCGCTCACCATGGTGAGTGTAGCTACCATCTGTCACCACACGTTCCTACAACATCACTGGCTATATTCCCGATGCTGTACTTTTCATCTCCGTGACTTAGCTGTTTTCTAACCAGAAGTTTCAGCTGAAATGTTTTGATTCTCATTTCTTGCTTTTCTCTTAGAGTTGGATTTGTATGGATGTTGTCTGCTTTTTCCTGTTCACGCTGAGGTATCTATTTTCTTTGACCAGCAATAATCGGCATTAGCAGACCGGGTGAGAGGTTTGGGTGACTTCATTTCTTAGTTCAAGAGCACCCTCAGGGCGCCTGGGTGGCTCAGTCGGCTCGGGTCATGATCTCAGGATCCTGGGATCGAGCCCCACATCAGGCTTTCTGCTCAACAGGGAGTCTGCTTCTCCCTCTCCCTCTGCTCTCTCTCAAATAAATAAATAAAATCTTTAAAAAAAAAAAAAAAGAGTAGGGCGCCTGGGTGGCTCAGTTGGTTAAGCGACTGCCTTCGGCTCAGGTCATGATCCTGGAGTCCCGGGATCGAGTCCCGCATCGGGCTCCCTGCTCGGCAGGGAGTCTGCTTCTCCCTCTGACCCTCCCCCCTTCTCATGTGCTCTTTCTCTCTCTCATTCTCTCTCTCTCAAATAAATAAATAAAATCTTTAAAAAAATAAAAATTAAAAAATTAAAAAAGAGTACTCTCTTCTGTTGGAAGAGTGAGGTGACATTTTGAACAAACCGATGAAACCTTTTGGGGAGGGAGGATTGATACGTTTGTTGATTTGCTGGCTCTTCTTATTTCCATCAACTTACTCCCTTACTTCGAGCCCACAGCTCACGCCCTTCCCTCCATCCACCAGCAAGCCTCCCAGGGCCACCTTCCCCTCCCCAGTTGCCCCTGTCACCCAGAACTGGTGCCTTTTCAAGACAGCTACTCCGGCCCCACACATTCAAAAACGCCTTCCTTCCTTTATTTAAAAAATTTTATTTTTAAGTAATCTCCACATCCAACGTGGGGCTTGAACTCACAACCCCAAGATCAAGAGTCGCACGCTCCTCCAACTGAGCCAGCCAGGTGCCCCCAAAACAC